TAAGGCAGTTCAGCTGAGATCCTTTCAGGTAAAGACTCAGAGGATTTCAGTCAGAGGATTCGTGTGGAGTTGGTGAGGTAAGAGGTGGTGGTTGTGGTTGCTCTGCTTCTCTGATCTTTCAGCTTTCACCCCAATATCTGGCTCTGTTTTTTTTTTTTTTTTTAATTAAAAGACCTTTTAAGATTCACATGACAGTCCCTGTCTCAAAAAAACAAAACACAAACAAACAAAAAATTTTACTAGCTTCAAAGAGTATTTCTTCAGGCTCTTTGAAACAAACAAAAAATTGAAAGAAAATTTTCAAACTAAAAGCATTTAGCTCATTTTTAATATACTACTGCTTAAGCATTACAGTGCCAGGAATTCTACCCTCAGGGAAGTAATGATGGATATTTATGAAGATTTAGTTGCAAGCATGTTCTGACAATTATATTTGATGGCGACACAAAATCTATAAAGAGTCTGTCCGACAATAAGAGTGTATACAATCACAGTAGAAGGTGCTAGAGACGGCCAGCAGTTGAGGGCACAGGCTGCTCCTTCAGAGGACCCTGGTTTGTTCCCAGCACCCAGATAGTGGCTCACAACCGAACACCTGTAACTCTAGCCCCTGGGTACCTGGTGCCCTCTTCTGGCCTCTGTGGGCACTGCATACACACGGTGTACTTAAATACATGCAGGCAAAGCAGAACTGGACTGCAGGTTGGTGGCCCTGCTGTGGTTGCCCTGGGGATGATGCTGAGACTCTGGTTGGGAAGTCTGGGTCTTCTGGGCTAGGTTGGGAGGTTCTTGACTAGGCTGAGGGCTTTACTGATTGTCAGGTGACTGTGGGTGAAGAGTGCTTGGCCAGAGGAACTAAGGTATAAAACAGCATGAAACAAATAAAATGAAAACAAATCTTTAAAAAAAAATCACAGAAGAGATGGACAATATAACTTCTTGCCACTCAGTTGACAGCTGGAGGCCAAAAGAGAATAATTCTTTTTTGAGGTTGTTCCCACTGGTAGTTTTCCCATGTTTCAGTGGATAGCCACACATCCATGTGTTGTGGAATATTAATGAGGCAAAGATGTGTTGCATTTGTTTATGCTGCAGAATATTACTTTAACTGTGTAAAGGTGTGCTTTTGTTTATGCTGCATTTGTTTAATGATGTAACGATGTGTGTTTAATTATGTAAATAAAGATGTGCTGCATTTGTTTCACCTTCCTGCCTAAGGCACCTGATTGGTCTAATAAAAAGCTGAACCGTCAATAGCTAGGCAGGAGAAAGGATAGGTGGGGCTGGTGGGCAGAGAGAATAAATAGGAGAAGAAGAAGAAAAGAGAAACAAAAAAGGAGAGAAGGAGGCAGACACCATCCAGCCAGACACAGAGAAGCAGTGAAAGGGAAATACACAGAAGTAAGAAAGGTAATCAGCCCTGAGGCAAAAGGTGGATAAAGGCTCAAAGAGCTAGCTAGAAACGTGCCTAAGCTAGGCTGATCATTCAACCAGTAATAATCAGTCTCAAGTCATGATTTAGGAGCTGGTTGGTGGCCCCAAAGAAAAACCTGGTACCTCTATGTATATATGGGCAGCATTAGTGTGCTGTGGGATATTTGATCACACTGTGAACCCCAAGACTGCATTAATTAAATAAAATCAATAGTTAATAAAATAATAACAGAAAATAATCATAGAGAGTCAGAGGGAGTTTGGAAGATGGATAGAGACACACAGGAGGGAGGGACTTTGAATGTGGAGGTCTTTTTTGGTACAGGGCAGTGGAAGGATACTCTCTTGCTGGGTCACTGGCTAAAGAGGAAGGCCAGCTGGTTCCTTCTCAGCCTCTCTGAGTTAACAGGTATTCACCCCAGCATCTGACTCCGAGTCTTTATTGGTAAATAGAACAATAGAGATTTAGTTAAAAACTACACTTGGGGGCAGCAGCAAGAGGCGGTTCCAATGGGACACAAAAGTCCCTCCAGGCCTCCACTTGAGCATCTGGGCAGGGATTGCAGAGCCACAGTCAGTGGCTAAAACAGCAGTAGATTCAGGTGCAGCCACAGTACCGGTGATAAAACAACACTAGTGGGATACACACACACACACACACACACACACACACACACACACACACACACACACACATACACAGTGGGAGAAATATATAGACATGACGTTGGGGGGTACATGCTGAGAAGCAATATGAGGAGAGTTAGAGGGAACTGGTGAGTAGATTATGATTATATTTCATTGTATACATGTATGAAATTCTTTAAAGACAAATTTTAATTAAAAAATCTTGCCATTAAAATTTATAAATTTTATGTGCATATTTACTTCATATGACGATAAAATTGCATGTGCATTATTTACTATATAAACCTATAAACTATATAAACCTATGTTGTCTCCATAATAAACAATGGTATAATGTTGAGAAAGTGTTCTTGAAAATCATGGGTGGGAAAAAACTTTGCTTGGAATCCCATTTTTGTAGGACCTGAGCTGAGTTTTTGCTTGGTTTGGGAGGGGGTTGAATGAGAAATGTTCTCCATTCGCATTTTAACATTTGGTGGTGCTCCTTAGGGAGGTTATGGAGCTTTAGGCTGTGGAGCCTTGCTGGAAGAAGCAAGCCACTGGGGGCAGGGGTTGAGGGTTCTAGCCACCCCACTTCCAGTTCCCTCCCTGTGATTCTTGCTTGTGGCTGAAGACGTGATCTCTTAGCTTCCTGCTGTCATGACCCCAGGCCATCATAGACCCCGGCCCTCAGGAACAGGAAGCCAAATACATTTTCTGCCACAATTTGCTTTTGGTCAAAGCATTTTATCACGGCTATAAAAATTGTGTGAGTTTTTGTTTGTTTGAAATGGGGCTTGGTTATGAAGCCCAGACTAGCCTGGAACTCTGACTCTGTTCCTAAGTAGCCACTGATTTGTTGTCGCTGTAGATCAGTTTTCATGTTCTAATTATACCCCAACGGAATCATACACTATGTACTTTTTGTCTGGCTCCTTTCATTCAGCATTAACAGACACATTCATGCTGCTGTATGAGTTTATAGTTCATTCTTTTATATTATGAGGGACAGGCCCTTGAATAGGTCACTCTCAGAAAAAGCACTCCTTATTTCCGACGGAAATCTTCTAAAGGGTTTCAGACACAGTTTACATTGTATCTTTGTTATTCACAAGGAATTAGGACTCGTTGTCTACTTAGACTAGAGCTGGTATTCCATCACAGGCAGCTGTTTTGCCTTGATTCTCTCAAAGTATTGCTTCATTTAAATTTTAATCTAATCTCTGTGCTGTTGTAATTAATAAACCTAACTTTCTGGAAGTACAGTTACATTCTTACAAGTTTTCTTAACTGTCAGGAATGCTCACAGCTACACTGAATGCAAACCAGTAGGATGTGACTCACTTTTCTGTTTTTAAAATATAAATGCATGGTGGGATAAAGAAATAGTTCAGTGGGGGAATGCTTGTCTACGATGCTTACATCGTAAGGCTCTGAGTTCAATCCTCACCAAGACCACAAAAACAAAGTACACATACATGTGCATACACAAAGAGAAGAAGGAAGGAAGAGAGGGAGATATGATATGTCCCTAATATCAAATACAAAAAAACAAACAAGAAAGACAATATAATCTTACTAAATCATATTTACTTGCTAGACTGCAAAAGGGACTAGAATGCTCGCCTACAATTACTGTAATCATTTAATTCATAAATCTACAGGTGATCTAGAATGATCATACAACTTCTTAGGAAAACCATGACTCTGTGTCTGGAACCAACACGAATATGTGGGGTTATAGATCTTATTCCAAAAGTATGAAGGGAATTTGTTAATGTTTAGAGTTCACGCAGGCCCCACTCTAAGGTTCTGGCCTTTATAATTTAGTCCGCAATTATAAGTCTGCTTAAAGCTTAGCCAGAGCAGTTTCTTACAAAACTCCATTCCAACCATTAATCACAATACTCATTACAGCACTGATGCAAAGTAGGTCAAAATACATTAATAGATTTTTAGTTTGTATTTACTTCATTTGCTTACATGCTAATTATCATTTAATGATAGACACTGTTTCCTTATAGCAAAGTCAAAATTTAAATCCTAAGATAGCCTCCAAGCATTTTTATAATTAACAACTGAAGAAGCGCCTCATTTATTTATTTTTGGTGCTGGGAATCTAAGCCAGAACCTTGCATATGCTCAGCAAGCATGCTCTATCACTGAGAACATTACCCAGCCCACCTAGTTTCCTTCAATGCCACATTCAACTGTCGGGCAACACACGCAACTTTTTTTGTGTTGTATGAAAGCTTAAAATAATATGCTACAAGGAAGCTTCCTCTGCATATATATACAACCTAATGTGCTTCGTCTCAATATTTCCTATTAAGGCTACAAATTAGCAGGAAAATAATAGTGCCGCCCACGGGCTTGCCGACTTTTTAATTCTGGAGTCTGACAACACGCAGTAGGAGTGAATGAGCGAACGGACGCAAATGTTGGCAAATGTTAATGCTAGTCCGCCCCGAAGAAACACTCAATTGGGAATTACACGTGCCGCGGCCTCAGACTCCACGGAGCCCCCTCTGGAAGCATCCAACGGACCGGCGACCTTAGGGAGGAAAAGCCGCTCCACTGCACGACCACTGCAGGAAAGCGCGGGGAAAGCCTGCTCACACTCGGGACGGATTCGCCGGGTCGCTCGCGCGCACGCCTTACACCTGCGTCCCTCCCCGCTCCCAGAGCGCCCGGGCCCGCAGGGCTTCCGCAGCCAGGCCGCTCGCCCCCCGCTCCCGAAGCTCCGCGCCGCCACAGGCCGCCAGTCACTCGCGGCGCCAGGGAACCCCCGAACCAGATACCGGCAGGCCCCGCCCACCGAGCCCACGTGACCCCGCCCCGCCCACAACATCCACGTGACTCGCGCCGGCCTCCGCGCGCGGCGTGTATCGCAGCCCGAGCCGCCATTGTTCCGCCGGGGGAGGACAGCGGGGCCTGGCGCTGGCGCCCCGACGCCGCTTAGCGGCCGCCTCTGGAGACACTCTGTCCCCGCCGCCCCCTGTCCTCCTGGCGGCGGCGGCGTGAGGCCGGCTGCGGGGACTGGGAGCCCCTTGGCCCTCCCCGCGGCGGCGGCCGCCAATCCCCCGCTCCGGCGTGAGGGGCGGCCGCGATGCGCTCGGCCTGAGGTGTCGCGGCCCTCGTCGCCTCCCACGGCTCTTCCAGCGGCGTCCGTGCGCCCCGGCGTCATCCCGCGAGTGTCTCTGACGGGAGGGAAGATGGCTGCACGGAGCTGGCAGGACGAGCTGGCCCAGCAGGCCGAGGAGGGCTCTGCCCGGCTGCGGGAGTTGCTCTCGGTCGGCCTAGGCTTTCTGCGCACCGAACTGGGCCTCGACCTGGGGCTGGAGCCGAAGCGGTACCCGGGCTGGGTGATCCTGGTGGGCACCGGCGCGCTCGGGCTGCTGCTGCTCTTCCTGCTAGGCTACGGCTGGGCCGCGGCTTGCGCCGGCGCCCGCAAGAAGCGGAGGAGCCCGCCCCGCAAGCGGGAGGAGGCGGCCGCGTCGGCCCCGGCCCCCGAAGACCCAGCCCAACTGAAGACTCTCAGAAGCGACGAGCAAAAGAAGAAGAACCGGAAGAAGCTGCCAGAAAAGCCCAAAGTGAGTAGGGACGAGGAGCCGGGTGGGCAAGGGGGGGCCAGAGCGGTTAAGCGAGAGCTGAGGACGAAGTGATAGGTGAGCACGTTCCTTGAGTAGGGGATAGTCGGAAAGTGTAAGAATCCGTAGGAAAGTCGAGTTTCCTGGGTGGAAATTAACTCTAGGGGTAGGAATAAAAGTGCCCAAACTTGAAGCCTTCATCTGGGAACCTTGGCCGCACCAACTGCATACCCTTCCTAGAGGCCTGTAGAAGTAGGCTGCATGTGGAGGTTAGTGGAACCTTACGCTGACGTTGGGAAGTTCTGGAAAGACTGCCTGGGAGAGAGATGTCTATCTCTGGCCACATTGAGACTTGAGACCGTAGCTAGTGGAGGATATACGGTGACCTAAAAACTCTGGCTTAAAGAGGATTAAAAGGGTCCAGATCTAGACATACTTCCACCTTAGTTGGAAATGTTAAAGGGAAGTGGTTGCTCTGTCTTGATTTGGTGGGGGTGGAGGGACTGGCACAGGAGCTGAGCACAAAGGATCTGGCTATCTAATATTCCTTTGAGATATATGACCTGAGCAAAAGCTAAGGCAAGTTCAGCAAAGTAGTCTGTAGTACAGTCCTGAGTGGAGGCTTTTTTTTTTAAATGAAGTAAAAGGGGGTAATAGATTAGAAAGCTGAAGTTGAGAGAGGGTCCCAGTTTGCTGGACCACGTGTGAAAATGCAAAAGGTAACCTATTTTTATCAGGCCTTAGTGTTTTACTAATGTATTCTGTGTTGCCATTTCTCCATCATACATATAATTTTTATATTTCTTTGTTGGGGAGATCTTGTGCCATGGCACGCATGCGGAAGTCAGTCCTGTTGGAGTCGGTTCTCTCCTTCCACCACGTGGGTCCTGGGGACTGAACTCTAGTAGTCAGGATTGGTGGCTAGTGCCTTTACCTACTCAACTGTTTTACTAGCCGGTTTTACATTGGGGCGGGGGCAGGCAAGGGTGTTTCCGAGACAGAGTTTCTCTGTGTAACTGCTCTAGCTGTCCTGGAACTCCCCTTGTAGACCAGGCTGGCCTTGAACCCACAGAGATCCGCCTGCCTCTGCCTCCCCAGTGCTGGAATCAAAGAAAGGTCTGCGCCATCACGCCTGACTGGTTTTACCTATTTTTAAAATACTTTACAGTTGAGAATATAACAAATGTACAACATGAGAACGATCTATTAGCAGCATGTAGTGGCATATGTGTTTAATCCCAGCACAGGGGCAGGCAGGGACAGGCGGATCTCTGAGTTTGAGGCCAGCCTGATCTACATAGTATAGTGAGTTACAGGACAGCCAGAGCTACATAAAGAAACCCTGTGTCAAAAGAGAGAGAGACAGAGACAGAGGGGGAGGAGGAGGAGGAGGAGGAGGAGGAGCAAGGAACGAAATACTTCCTGTTTTTGTATCATCTGAATGTAACCCTTAACCTTTTTAGAACAATTCAGTAAGCCAATACCAGGTTCTTACCATGTAGAGATGCACTCTGATATGTTTAATGAGTGGTGCAAGGTGTGCACAGAGGAGTTAGTCAATCATGGGAGCTAGTGTGGGAGACAGATTCATAAATAGTGTATTCATGGGCCCTCGGTTGCAAAATAGAGTGTGAACACATGTTGGTGTGATTTGGACGGTAGAGACTAATTCCAGTTTGAGAAGTTTAGGGAAGTTAATTCAGGAAGCTGGGTTTCACTTCAAAAAAGAATATTGTTAGTAACAATACAAAAAAGACTGACAGCTCATCTCCTAAGTATTCATGTTTTGCTTGGTAAGTAAAAAAATAGGATAGGAAAGAAATGTAGAAGAGTATCAGTGTAATAATACTTCCTTAGGTTCAGAGAAAATAACCCACGTAGACTATGCATAATTAAAAGTTCAGAAAACAAAGGATTAAGTAATGTTCTGATGAAAGTAGAACATTTGGCTTCAGAGTAAAGGTGATCTTGAAACAAACCACATACATTAATCCTAAGGCCTGTGTGGATTGTGGCAGGTTATGAAAATTTCAAAGCCTCTTTAGAATGTTTAGAATTTCAGATGGACTTGAGTTGAGAGACAGGTACTCTAAGAGTCCATTTGAACTGCATCATGACACCAGATGACTCATCTGAAGGAGGAACACACTTCTGTGAAAAATGTACATCTTATTTGAGATTTGGCCCATCATCCTTTTCATTTGTTTGGTTTTTTTTTGTTGTTGTTTGTTTTTGGTTTTTCGAGACAGGGTTTCTCTGTGTAGCTTTGCGCCTTTCCTGGAACTCACTCTGTAGACCAGGCTGGCCTTGAACTCACAGAGATCCACCTGACTCTGCCTCGAGTGTTGGGTTTAAAGGTGTGCACCACCACCGCCCGGCATCCTCCTTTTCATTTGTGTTGAGGAAGGGGAAATGGATAATAAATAAGTCTACTGAGATCTTTGAGGAGTTGGATCATTGAATGTGAATTGGATGAAATGGGTAACTATTGAAGAAGTTATGACCTTAAAACTCGACTACAGCTCAGAAATATATTTTACATTCCAGCACAGGCACAAACTTACTTTTCTTTAAGCAGTTTGTGACCCACAAAATTGGCTTTTTGTTTGATTATAAGGCCTAACACCGCTCCTGCCCTCCCCTTAAAAAATACTGCTTTTTAGGGCTAAGTATTAACTTCATTACTTCCTGTTCATTATATTCCTTCCTGTTCATTATATTCCTTGTACTGTGCTACGTTTTTACTTAGGGGAGGAAAAAAACAAGGCCTAGTTATAAGATGAAAGCAGGAAAAATGAGTGTTTTATGTCATACTATGAAGGGGACACAAAAGTAAAAAGCTCAGTGACTTCTCAGGGAGCTTTATGCTCGTTATGGAAGATGTCTGTACATATCCACTCCTCGTGTGTGCTCTGCTTTCATGGATTAAACCAACTAAAGATCAAAATTTATTTTTAGGGACTGGTGATGTTGCTAAGTTGGTAGAGTGCTTACTTGGCATGCATGAATCCCTGGAATCAGTGGCCAGCCCTGCATAAACTGGGGTCTTGGCATATGCCTCTATAATCCCAACATTCAAAGTAGAGACAGGAGAATTAGACTTTCAAGGTCATCTCCTACAATTTAAGGAGCTTGAGGCCATCCTGAGACAAATGAGACCCCTACCCTCTCTGGAAAAAAAAAAAAAAGCAATGATTTTTTAAAAACTGCAGCTGTACTAAATTAGGTAGAGACTTTTTCCTTGTCATTCCTTAACCTATACGGTATAACAACTGTGTACATAATATTTACTTTGGACTAAGTATTATTAATCTAAAGATGATTTCAAGTGTATGGGGATGTGTGTGGGTGACATACCAATATAGCATTTTATTTTATAAGCTACTTGGCATCTGTACATTTTGGTATTCTTGAGAGTTCTGGAATCCCTCCCCAGTGGATACTGAGGGACTTTATCAAAACATTAACAGTACAGCCCCACTTTGTTCCCAGGGGGCACCAAATGCCTGATCACAGTGGTTGATTTTAAAGTAAGAGGTTGAATCGAATTAATGGAAAAGCCTGAGAGATTCCTGAGCCATGTCTCAGACCTTTAGTTCTAACTTGAGAACAGAATCCAGAGAATCTGCTTTCTTGTACCTGACTGTTCAAGCTGAACTTGGAACTCCTGGGCTCAAGTGGTCCTCCAACCTCTGCCCAAGTTTCTGGCACTGCAGATGTGCCCCACTGCTTGGCTTTTTATTTGTATCCATAACAGATTAATTTGAAAATCACTCAGTGGAATAGAGCTATAAAGTTTATACTATAAGTTTTTTTTGTTGTTTTTTGTTTTTGTTTTTCGAGACAGGGTTTCTTGCGCCTTTCCTGGAACTTGCTCTGTAGAGCAGGCTGGCCTCAAACTCACAGAGATCCGCCTGCCTCTGCCTCCCGAGTGCTGAGATTAAAGGCATGCGCCACCACCACCCGGCCTATACCAACTTTTGTTTTTCTTCTTTTTGTTTGTTTACTTGATTAGAGACAAGGTCTCACTATGTAGCTCTGGCTGTCCTGCCTCAAATTCAGGAGTCCACGTGACTCTTACTCTGGAAGGCTGGGATTAAAAGTGTGCACCACTATATCCAACTGACCTTTTTTTCTAAGCTAGTTAGAGTGCCACATATTTGTATGTAATGTCAGTATTGAGGCTGGAGAATTAACTGAGATTAAGGCTAGCCTGGGCTACATACTGAGGTCCAGGCCATTTTTGACTATGGTGTGAGACAAAACACAGTAAGGATCTTTCTAGCCAGGCAGTGGTAGTGCACCTAGGGTGCAAGCAGAGGCCCAGGGACCTTGACTTTGAGGTCACTCTCAGCTACACAGCAAGACTGTCCAAAAGACTCTTTTTTTTAGTTGAGCCACTTACTCAGGTGGATTCTGTGATATAAACTACTAGTTTCTATGACTCAGCATTCTATATTTCAGGATATTTTGCCTACATATAATTTTACTGTTATTGTTTCATTCCATTATTAATTTTCTCTTAAGTCATGCAACCCCTATTTTCAAAATGCATTGTTTGTGTGAATATGTGCATGTATGAGTGTAGAAGCCAGAATCAATGTTGGATATGATATCTTCTTCAATCTCCTCTTTCTTTTTGTCCTAAACATTTTATTATGTGTTTGAGTGTTTTGCCTGCACGGGTGTGCACACATTGACACAGAGGAGAGCAATGAATCCCTTGGAACTGGAGTTAACAGATGGCTGTGAGCCATCATATTGGGTACTGGGAATTGAACCCCATTAGAGGAGCAGCAAGCACTCTAAACTGCTCCTTCAGCGCCCCCCCCTTCTTTTTCTTAATAAGTTAATTTTCTTTCTTTTTTTTTTACTGGAGCTAAAAAGCGCTCTACCACTGAGCTAAATCCCCAACCCCTTATTTTCATTTTTATACAATATATTTTGATCACATTCCTTGCCCTCTCCAACCTCTCAGGTCCTCCCCACCACCCTACCCACCC